CGCGCTGATGAGATCCAAAAAGATCGAAATCGCGATCCGCGTCTGGCAGTTTCGACAGAATACAGACCACTTCGAATTATTTTATTTTATTTTATTAGTGTACTTTTGTTGAAAATTAATAACAAAACTTGTTTTTTAATTGAAAACCTACAAGTCTAACAGGGTTTTTAATTAATATCAGATTTCGCCAGAATGTTACTAAATGACACCATATAAAATCTAAAAGAATTGAATTAAAATTCTGACTCGTATTAGTTTTAGTACTTTACTAGAATCCTAGAATATGTTTAAGTATTTTGTTGGGTAAATCTTTGGATTAGAATTAGTTTAACGAATTTTTAAGAAAAAATTATAATCACTCTGAGAGTACCACCAGGAACAAAAGCATACCATTACCAAAAACAAAACTTGAAGTCGGGAAAAAACAGTTTATACGTTGCTATATGGAATTACAATTCATTACCCAAAGGATTAAAACTAAACTAAAAAACTGTATAAGACTTAACTGCAAAGAAAACCTAATTTTTGTGGTCAGGAAACAATATTCACTCATTTTCTGTTGTATATTCTTGTCATTATCATTTTACTACTTTAAATATTACTGTTGCCTTTACTTATCTCTTTCCCTATCTTTTCCTTTGTTTTTTACTTTAATTTTATTGTTTGTTAAGAATAGTAGATTTAGTATATTTTTTTTAAACACCTTTATAGGATTTACTTTGTAAATTTCTGGTAATAAATTGAATTGAATTGAATTGAATTAAGGTACAAGATTGGATTTATTTGATGTAAGGCTAAATAGGTCTTTATTTTGCAGTATTATGTTTTTTCATTTTTGAAAAGCAATAAAAGTACCTAGATATTTTATATTTGAAAATGTATTCCTTTTGAGAGTAAAACATTGTCACGTAACGCAACTATTAGTTTTTGTGTATCAATATGCGAATCGTTTTGTTTAAGTACTATCACGATATATTTACCTAATAGTAATTAAAGTATTTAGTGTTTCAGTGGGTAATTTTCTTATCCCCAAAATGAATATAAATGTGCTTTAGAAATGAATTCTGTCGATGGCTTACATTTTTTATCTTTTCCTTTGCCTTTATCTTTACCCTTGTCTTTTCCTTTCTTCCCTTTATCCTGTACAACAACTGGCGGTACAATTTCGACGGATTCTATGCTAGGAGCGGTGGGTAATATATGTTCGTAAATTTTCTTAAAGGCGCTTACGATTTTTACAAATTTTATCAAATCATAATCTTCGGGCGGCGCATATATACCTTTTTGAGCTGCCCAGTCTGTCCACCTCCAATGCTTCCAACTTTCAAGTTCTAAAATTACCTCATTAAGCTCTATAACTTACGACAGTGTGATTTTCCTATTATTTGAAGGAAAATGAAATCGATCTATAAATTCATTTACATAGGTTGGTTGTTGAAGATTTATTGTGTTATACTTCTGTTACTTTCTCTAGCGATGTGCCCCTTCCAATGTCTTGGATGCGCGCTGGCAAAATCGTAGGTAGCGAGAACAAAGCTCATTATACTCTCGACTCTTGTTCATTAAATATACTTTTTCATACAATACCTGCCAAATGTTTTGTTCAATCATGAATAGTAGTGCGAGTCGAAAACAATCGTTAAAGCCTTTAATATGTCTTCAAATATAATTAAACATCTCGTTGATATTTTCAGTAGTAATTGGTACCAATAACAGCACATTTGAGCAATGCAATAGTAGTGGATAAAATGGTCAATTTTTCCGTGCAGTACTGTACGGATTATACGCTCCTTACCGGTTAAGAGTTTGGCCGAGAGTTGTTTCCTTTCTTTTTTGGCCTAGTGCTATTCTTTTCTACTTTGCGCCGGTCAAACTAAAGGTCACACCGCTAGAGAAACTAAGCGAAGTATACTTATTGTATTTTAAAAATACTTTATTTAAGAGGAAGTTAAAAAGTGCCTAATAATGTCCCTTCTGTTGCAGGTAAACAATAAATTTGAGGCTAGAGCGAAGATATTTGTCACATTTCGAAGATCCAGAGAAGATTAAAGAATAAGCGTAAAACAACAACATACAAAGGTAAGTAAGAATAATTTCTTCATCACCCATCAGCAAATCGAAACTTCTAATATGGAAGTTTGCTACTAATTGTAGATTCTGTAATACCTCATAAATTTTACAAGATCCTTTTTAATTAAGGATTTCACACTTTAAAAATTAATAGGAACTTAAGAAACCTTAATGAACCACGGTTAGTAGCAAATTTCCATAGATGGCGGTGTCTGTTCTTCCTGTATTACTTATTGAAACGACATTCTATCCACTCTTTGAAGAGATAAGGATATCCTTGCATTGGTTTTATTTAGTAAGGCTGTTTTATAACTCCTTTCATATTGATGTTCAAAGTTTTTGCGAATAAGTTTAACGTTATATAATGTGTAGAGGCATGAAACAAGAAATAGGTCAGGGACAAGCGGTTTTTAAAAAAGGTAAATCAACCTTGCGCTCTCTAATGGTAAATATGAAAATTTGTTAAGGTCGTTAAGAGAGGATGTTCAAAGTACGGCTCTGTATTGGTGTAAAACGTGGAAGGTAGGCGCGGCGGAAAAGAAGGGGTTGACAGAAAGGGAAAAGTACGAGACCACGGAACGCTAAGGAAGTCGATAAGGAAAATTAGAAATAGAAAGGTAGGACATCTTCTGAGGCATAGAGGGCTACTTGGAGATGTTAGAAGATAAGTAGGAAGGGGATGTTTTAGTTTATGGTATGTGGGAAGATTGGCATAAAATAACCAACGACCTTATAATGGTGACAAAAATAAATATAATTGACATATAACGTACCCGGTTGGGGCAATGGTTTTGCAATTGGTATCATTCTTGTCAGGTCAATGAGTATATTATGACTCCAACAAGGTGCTATGTCAGGTACTTTATCTTCAGAAACATATCTAAAATGAAAGAAGTAAAACGGTTTTAATATTATCATTTCGTAGTTCATAAGCTACAGGAATATGTTTCTGGGCTTGACGTGAACTAAAGTATTCACCTCATATTTGTACAGGTTAGGTACATGTAACAGGGTACACCCAGGTCTTCTTCCTCCTCCTCTTCGAGAGTTACAGCGCTTTTGCCACTTTTCGACCCCTTGGATGCTTTAGATCCTTTAGGAGTTTTTCCTTTTTTATCCTTTCCTTTCCCTTTGTCCTTACCTTTTTTCGCCTGTGGTGCCTCCCAGCTGTAGTGATTTGTAAAACCGGCACAGATATCCCACTTTTCACGAAAATTCATTCCTATAAGTTGTTGAACAATCTACAATTACTTTTAATTGTGCGACTGCAGTATTAATAATAAGTTTGTACCTCTTAGGTCGTTTTTAACTAAAATCCATCCCGTTAAACAGCTCACTATATCAAAATCAACAAGCTCATGTTCTATAGTCCAAGTCAGGCTGGCTATTTTTAGAAGTGCTTTACACAATAGGTAGGGCCATACTTCTACTTCGTTGGGAGGCGGCCCTGCAGCCGTTTTCTTGGAACCCTTACTACTTTTAGATGATGGCGTTGGTGGGGGAGTAGGAGCTGGAGGAGCTTGAGTGGCTCCTTCGACTTGCGGTTGTTTGAAACCGGGTAGCTGAATCATGTCACATGTTCCAATTGGTACAGTGTCATCAATAAATATCTTGCGCCAACTTCCCATCCAATATAATCTTACGACATATTTTCCTAGACCAACCAGAACTTTTAAATTTAAAGTATTGAACCAGAACGAATAACTTGGTTTCATAATCATTCATAAGATGTAGAAAATACCACAAATGGCGCGGTAAACGCCATCTGTAGTACGATGTTACATTTTAGGATTACGTATGCTCCAACAAAATCCATTTAAATATATGGATATCTACTTGCTGAAACGAATCCCGGCGTAGCTAACCTCGACGTGATAGGCACGTTACCATAATCGGATAAAACAATTCGAAGTGGTCTGTCTTCTGTCGAAACTGCCAGGCGCGGATCGCGATTTCGATCTTTTAGGATCTCATCAGCGCGTCGACAGAATACAGGCCACTTCGAATTATTTTATTCGATTATGGTAACGTGTCTATCACGTTGAGGTTAGCTACGGTGGGATTCGTTTCAGCAAGTAAATATCCATATATTTAAATGGACCTTGTTGGAGCATACGTAATCCTAAAATGTAGCATCGTACTACAGATGGCGTTTACCNTCGTCGAATGAAGAGGTGATCGCCGAAACTGAGGCCTATTTTGAAGCAAAGGACAAATCGTACTACAAAAATGGTATCGAAAAGTTGGAGGATCGCTATAATCAGTGTATCACCCTTGAAGGGAATTATGTTGAATAAAAAAAACGAATTTTGCAAAAAAAATGTGTTTTACTATTTTAGGCCGGGGACTTTTCAATTGACCTGTTAATTTGAATGTGTTTTTATTGAGACGTTTTTCATTTGGTTTTGTTTTGATGTTTACCTTGCAACGGCTGTGCTTGAAACAACTTCTTCGGGCTCATCAGTGTGTAAATATCTCTTCATCTTAGCTTCATCAGCAACTTCCCATTCTTCTGGCAGTAGCTCCCACGAATCTTCTATGACATACCCTTCCACAAAGTACGTAGTATAGGAAATAGCAGAGGTTGATGTAGCAATTTCTTCTGAACTTCTTCGATTTTCCTTTTTTGAATACAAAAAAGTGATCGATTTCGACGAAGCAACTTTGCTACCTTTCTTCATAGCGATCACAGAGGGTGACGAATTCTCTATTGCCGTAACCGACGTTTGTGGAACAAACACAAGATTTTTCACTGGAAAAATTGCGCACCCATAATCCTCTATTGTTCCCATAACTCTATCGTTTTCATCTAGCAACTTCAATGTGATTTTGGCCGTGGAGCAAGATACAGAAAGCCGGCAGGAAAACAATGTGGTCTTTAAAGTTACGATTTTACAACGGAACAGTCTGTTTGCATAGTTCGGTATGTAAACTCCACACAGGAAGTTAAGTTCTGGTTTAAGTTCGCTCAAAATAATTAGACTTTTGTCCTTTTTCTTAATGGTGGCAAAGCAAAGCTTCCATTGAACAGGATCGTTAGTTTCTGACCATCCGTAGCACAACACTGAATATCCATTTTCGTTAATATTGTAATTTTGAACATTAACATTGTTCGTGAAACGATACATTTCCCTATCGGTATCGTTATCAAACACTCTTACCATAAAATGCGGCAACATGCAAAACAACTGTATCTTAACAAGGATTGGTTCAGGAGAGTTACAGTGGAAGGTAACTCGTGTCATGTAAACCCAATCCGCAGCATTTCCCTTAAATTCTGAAAGGCCGCTGATACACTGCAAGTGCACCACAGAAAGTAAATCGTTAAACAAACTGTAAAATGGACTCCACTCGTTCTTTACGTCCTCAAAAAAAACATTCCTCAATATTGAAGCGCAAAGTAAACTCCTTTTTGACACGCTAAATAAATCGGTGTATATTTTCTTAAGAAGGAGAAATGTAGCCATGTAGTTTTTGTGGTTCTGGTTGTGATATGCCTTGAGTTTATTAACGAAGATGCGTTTGAAAAATGCTTGGATTATTACTGCGGCATTTTCCACTTTCTTGCTCATAGCAAACACAAAAGAAATCGTAGATCCGCCTTTGTCACATAGCGGAACTGGTTCGTCAAAGACTGCGTTCCTTGGAATAATGTAAGGATTAATGAACAAAACCTTGAAAGCAAATATTGCTTTTTTATATTCTTGAATGCTGTAAATATCTTTCAGTGCCTTTAGAATTTGTTCTATAATTTTGTCGTGTACTTTTGCACTGTTGATTTTTGACAATGGTTGGTCCGATTTGTATGAAGTATAAAAAGTTCTTAAACCGTTGGCGTATTCGATCGTTCCGAATTTTTGTACCAGTTGACCGTAAGCACTCGAAACGTCGTGAAAGAGTTTGGTGAAACGCTCTGATTCTCCCTGCATGAAATGCAATATCCGCTCCCAGTTCCCGATGACTGCTGTCAGTTCGGACAATATGTTCAGGACAAACGAAGTATCGCTTCTCAGCCAAAGTCTGAACAGATGTCTTCCTTTGTCGACATTTGTCAGCGAAGATGACAAACCTATTTTAATCATCGTTATTATCCTTTTTTTTTAAGAAGTTATAAAAAGGTTGTTAAAGGTGTATGTTTGGAGCGCGGCGCTGTACGGGTGCGAAACACGGACAGTGGTCGCGGCGGAAAAGAAAAGGTTAAAAGCGTTCGAAATGTGGTGTTACAGGTGAATGATGAGGATACCGTGGATAGAGAAGGTTAGAAATTAATAGATATTAGAAAGAATAGGAGAACAGAGGACTCTATGGAAGTCAATAAGAAATAGGCGAGATAGGTTGGTAGAACACCTTCTCAGGCATGAAGGTGTAGTCAGAGACATATTAGATGCAGAAACGGGAGTTAGGAGGGGTAGAGGTAGACCTAGATTAGATTACTGTTCGAAAATAGTTAAGGATGTGGAATGTTCTAGTTTTAGGGAAATTCGGAAATTAGCAGAGGATAGGAAAGAGTGGAGGTATGTGTCCAACCAGTCTTAGGACTGACGACCTTATGATGATGATAAAAGGTACAGTATAGTTTAAAGAAATGTTGTTAAGACGAGAAGCAGTACAACAGACGAAAATCGTTGCTGACAAGGGGTGTCCTATTTATCGTAATGACAGATGAAATAAGTATAAAAAGAAGCTTTTGAATAAAAGACTTGCTGTTAGGAGAAGCCAGAAATTTAGAAACTCGAGAAATCAGGGAAAGCGCCTTTACTGATGGCTTAGCAATCTTTGAAAAGAATGAACGCGTTATGGAGTTCAACATAAATATCTGCAAAGAAGCATTGAAAAGAATGAATTTGAAAAAGACTAGTTAGAGACCTACTAGAAGCAGTAACAAAAGTTAAGAGAAGTAGTTATAGATGTAAACGTTGATAAGATTACTGTTCACAAATAGTTAAAGACGTGGGATGTTCTAGTTTTAGGGGAATGCGAAGATTAGCTCAAGATTGAAAAAAGTGAAGGTTTGTGTTGAACCAGTCCTAGGACTGAAAAGCCTATTATGATGACGGTGATATCAAAATTAACATTTAGAAAACAAGTCATGCAAATTGCTAGAACAAACCAGGGAATTTAAATACCTATGTTGTAACACCTAATGAAATTAAGAAGAAGACATCGGAGAGGGATTATCAGCAGCTGCAAAAGTATTCGGTGCCCTGATTAGAACCTTTACTAGGAAAACAAAAATGAAGGTAGACATTTTTAAATCAGTATGAGGACCGGTATTCACGTTCGGCTCGAAACCATGAGTATTATGAATCGTTAAAAAAAGCAAGCTACGAACAATGGAAGTGAAATATCTAAAAAGAGTACAAAGAATCACATGATGACAAAATAAAAAATGTGGATATTCTGCAGGAACATATCCAGATAAAATAATTTTGAACAAAGCCAATTGATGTTGTTCGTCCATGTAAATAGAATAAATGGAGAGATATATGAAATGTATGGAAAACTGGAAAAACCAAAAAGAAAAAAGGGGAGACCAAGGAATGCATGGACAAACGAAGTCAGGAAAATCTTAGAGAGGAGTATGTTGCTACAACAGGGAAAGGGTTGGACCAGAAAAAGAAGAGTAAAAATATAATTACTGCTTCCTTTTTTACGCGAACCTCCTCAAAACACTTAACTTTCCTCAGGTCTGTCGAATTTCATGTTTGTGCATTTGCTGAACTATCTCGTCATTTTATAATTTTTCTATGAATTATTATCAGTACATAGTATAAAACAAAGTCGCTTTCCCGCTGTCTGTCCCTGTGTATGCTTAAATCTTTAAAACTACGCAACGGATTTTGATGCGGTTTTTTTTAAAAGATAGAGTGATTCAAGAGGAAGGTTTATATGTATAATACATGCATAATATAATAGGGAAACACTGATAATTTTAGAGGTTTCTAATGTGATGTCGTAAATAAACACATTTTTTGCGCTTACATTGCAAACGCTGGCTGAACC